TTTAATTAATTAAACTTGTAGTTTAATTTCGTGTTATTTTAAAACTACCCGTCATATCCAGTGTTGCCAGGTGTGGTGAAATTTCACCAGATCTGCTGACTTTCATGTTAGTCTGCCGATTTGGTGAAAAATTGTAAAAATTCTAATTTTTTTTTTCAATGAGAAACTCAATAATTTTATCAAGTTTTTTTAAAAAAGTCGAAAAAACACCAAATTGGTTAAAAAAATGTTTGTTTTTTACAAGATTTTACTAGACAGGATATCGACAATGGCAATTTATTTTTGTCTTTTTCGAATAGTTTTTCAGCTAAAAACGCAAAATTTCGATAAAAACAATCCAAAAATTCGACCAAAAACGGCGTTTTTGAGATAAAAACAAAGAAAATTCTAAAAATTTCGTTAAAACAGGCAAAAAAACTACAAAATTAAATCGAAATTGATATGATTTTTAGCTTGTTTTGCTTAATTTTTTAACCAAAACCTCATTTATTTTGCAAAATCTTGTCCAAACACGCTTAAAAATCACAAAAACAATCCATATTGTTGTTATTTTGTTTCTTTCACTTGATTTAAATTATATAAATAGTTTTTAAGCAAAATACGACAAAAATAAGCCGAGAATTTTTTAAACACGTTTTTCTATTTCAATCTCAGGTTTTTTTGCGAGATTTCGTCAAAATGAATTGAAAAATCAACACATCAAGTTAAAAATTACAATAATTTTGCATTTCTTGAGAGCATGTTTTTCAGCTAGAAACACAATTATTTCGCAAAATTGGTCAAAAACAAGCCAAAAAAACAAGAGTTATACCGAAAATGATATAATTTTTGTCTTTTTAGAAAGTTCAAGCAGATTTTTAAGCTAAAAACTGTATGTATTATGATAGTTTTACCTAACTCTTAAGCTTTAATTTAATTAATTATTTCTTCAAATTTTAACCAAATTTGCAAAATTTTGTCAAAAACAAGCCACAAATTCAACAAAATATCCCAAAAATAGCGTTTTTTTAATCTTTTTTGTGTGTTTCAGGATGTTTTTGGCAAATTTTTTAACTCGGATCTGGTGAATTTTATGTTTTTGATCTGGCAACATTGAAGGACACTGTTTTACCCACTGAGTCATTCACATTATTATTGCAACACATCAAACCACAATTTGTCAAAAATTCGATTATTTTTTATCCATTTCTTTATTAGTTAATAAAAAATGAATTAAATTAATTAAAATTAGTTTAATTTCCTGTTATTTTAAAACTACCCGTCATGTCGGACACTACTTTACCCACTGAATCGCTGACATTTCGCACCACCCCTAACCTCAATTTAGTCAATTTATCAAAATCAATTTCTTTATTAATTAACAATGAACCAAGCCGATGTGTCTAAATTAGTGTCGCAACTCCGAATAAAAGTAAATCCACGATTGAGAAAATTCCGTTCGCCGGGGGGCCCCGAAGCCCGTTTGGACAAACTCCGAAAGACAGTCACAGCTTTAATAAAACATGAGCGAATTGAACTCAATTACCCGCGCGCGGACGAGTCTCGAATGTACGCAGAACGGGTAAGTAATTTAAAATTAATTACTTAAAAAAATTCCGTAATCATGCCCTATTTTAGCTCATATCTGACGCTATCAGATACGGAGACTGCCACAAAGAGACAATGGAAATGGCCGATTATTGGCTCGTTGAAAAGCAATTAGTCCACAAATTATTCAAAGTCCTCGTTCCCAGATTCGCCAACTACAACACGTGTTACACGAGAATGTATAGGGCCCCCACTTTGTATCCAGAAACCAGGGGCAAAGCCCTTTTGGAGCTCAAAGGCAACCCGTACCCCTCCCTCCTTCCAGAGAATCACACAAACAGGAATTTGATCCACAATGTGCTGCTGGACGAGGCCAAAAAGGCCTACAGGACGCGGAAATATGCCGAAATTGCCGCCAATATCGAAAATCTCACTGAGGAGAGTAGAAAGTAAATAAAAATTGTAATAAATTAAATAAAAATTAGTCTAATCAAGAGTGTCTTGAAAATTTCAAAAACGTATGTCGTAACTAATTTGACAGTTAACTGTCAAATGCGAAAATTCAAACAATTCTACCTAAAAATGTGTACCCTAGTTTTTAGTATTGAAAAGTAATTAAAGCTAACAACGTAATTAATATCGGGTGGCAAATATAATTTTTTTGTCATTATTAATTATACTATTTGTGTGAATCAGCCTTTAAATTAAAGATGCATTTACAGTTCTACAACCTACTTACTTGATGCTCATTAATATGAAAAAGAGTACATTAAAAAAAAGAGAATTAAATAAAAATCGTCAAAATTATCAAAAACTACAACGAATTCCACGAAATTGTTTTTTTTTAGATGAAAACCCACAAAACGGTTTAGAAATTCCTCATAATTTCACATAATTATTAGGTTTTTTTTGGCAAATATTGCCTTGAAATACTTCTTTGAGTATCAGTCAAAGTTATTCTTCCAAAATGTCGTATAAACTAATAATAATGTATTTCAAAAGTCAAAATATATTTTATTTCCCGTAGTACGAATTTTTAGGATTCCAAATTTCTTATTAATAAACCAAAAAAGATCTCGAAAATAGTTTAAAAAAGAGGATTACAAAAATCGTCCCAATTTTCGGAAAATTTTAAACTCGAAATTCAGTAATCCGTAACAGACTTTTCTGTCGATTGACATAAAGAATCCTTCGAAGTCCACAAAACTGTTTAGAAATTCTTGATAATTATACAGAATTTTTAGGATTTTTTTTTATTTATGGCCCCATTTCAAAAATTAAAAAAATAAATTAAATGGATTTTATTACAGTATAAGCTGACAGTTTTTTCTAAGATAAAATCGATGCTTATTTATTTTCAGAAATTTTCTATATAAAAAAATGTGACGTTTCTCAACAATAAAATTTCTACATTTAAGTCATTTAATTTTTATCGATTTATTTTATACAGGGTGACTTTTAAAAAACGGCAGGCACAGTAATTTTTTTATTTATGGCCCGATTTCAAAAATTAAAAAAATAAATTAAATGGATTTTATTACAGTATAAGCTGACAGTTTTAGAAATTTTCTAAATAGCTTAGTATATTTTAGGATATATTCAGCTTTCTAATTTTAAATTGAAACCCATATTTTGCCATATATGCCATTATTCTAACACCAAAAAAACAACAAATGAAAAGAAATTTTGCAAATATTTTTTCAAATTTTTAATAAGAAATGACAAATCAGAAAAACATCTAATTTGGCCGCATTAATTTATTTTATTATTATTTATTTTGTTTACTTTCAATAAGATTATTGTTAATGTCAATTTTTTTATTGACATCGTGCAACTAGATTTGATTAACTTTTTTCTTCGACTTTACTAAAAAAAATGTTTAAAAAATTCTATCTCAAAAATTTTTGACATTTTACATTTTTTGATGTCTGTTTAATGATACTGATGATCTTGTACAGGGTGTTTCACACAACATTACGAGGCTTGCGCCTAATGTACGCACCCAAATGTACAAAAGTCACAAAATACTGGATACAAAAAATACACATTTAATTATTTAATTTTTGGAAACCCATGACAGTAGTTGTCAAACTAATCACTGTTTCATTAATAGTCATAAACTGCAGTTTTTCAGAAACAATTATCATTTGTTCTATCAAGGAAGATTATCCAATTTTTCAAAATTTGTAATCGAGTTCGTATGGGAATATGTATTATTACAGTCGCAGGCTTCGTAAAATTACGTGAAACACCCTGTATAGGTTTAATAAACGTTAATTTTGTGTCTGGAATTTTCAAATTAGTGTATAACTGGTTGCATAAGCGCGTGCCGTATGCGCATGCGCAAAGGGCGCATCAATATGGCGAAGAATTTGAAAATAGCCCTCTGGAGGCATCAGCTGTTCGCGTTTGATTGACACAGTTTTGGTGTTTTGATGGGTGTCTTCGCCATGTGCCAGCCATGGGTGCCATCGCCTCGGTGCTTCAATGGCATTGCGGTTCGTGCAGTTTAATCAACCCAACGGAGCAGTTGAAATGCATCAGATGCGGCACCAGCAGAGAGATCCAGCACACAGACAAAGGCCATGACAGTGGGGGCCCTTTTGGAGGCAACAGCGCCAACTGTACTGTAATACGAAGGCTGAAATCCACCGCCAAGCCAAGGTAAACGCCGACAAACTGAAAGATCAATAAATCGACTTTGTCGTTTTCAGCGGCTCGCAAAAGCGGAATTGCTCGTCGTTGGTGCGTAACACAGTGATAAACACTCTTGTTTTGCTCCAAAGAAGCGCCTCTGTGAGGATCATCGAGAAGAAACGGCCCCCCGTCTCCAAATCCACGAGTCTCGGGGACATTTCCAGGTGGAGTTTTTGCGAAAACTGCTCGGTCACGTTCGTTTCGGTCGCAAGAACGTGTCTTTTGTGCGAGGGGGCTGTCGGAATGATGAATGTGGCGCAATCGCCGTGCAAAAATTGTGCTTCACTCACGCCAATCGAACACCCATATGACATACTTAATTGTGATAGGCCCTTGACGTGTGTGTGTCAAAGGGCGAAGAACAACAGTTTTATTTCACTTTCGAGTATTGAAAGTTTTAGTTGTTCGGTTGCACAACAATTACACTGTGATCCTTTGATACCGAGCAATATTCGAACCACTGCGAGCGGGATTAATAAGGGGCATAGCCCGAGTTATGGGTACAAGGGGGCGAGTGGCAATTCGTGGACGTGCAAACGGTGCACCTTACTCAATGGACCTAATAGGGATGTTTGCGAGGCTTGCGAATCGCCCTACAACTCTGATCTCAACAGCAATTTTAATCCCAGCGTTATCATAAAGGTAAATAGGATTAAAATTGATAGCGATAAAGGCAATAAAGGTCAAGGTACTCAGTTCTTAAAATCATTCAATTCATTTTTTTATCAGTATTATTCCCAATAAAGCAAAAATGGAATAAAATCAAAGTAAGTAAAAAAATATGTTTAAATATAGTCGTTTTCATGTTAATGTTCATAGAAAGGGATCATTGCGAAAATTCAAACAATTCCAACCTAAAAATGTGGTGTTTTTGGTGGTAAAAAGTAATTAAAGCTAACGGGTGGTAAACATAATTTTTTTTGTCATTACTAATTATTAATTATACTTTGTCATAATTAATGATACTATTTGTGTGAATCAGCCTTTAAATTAAAGATGCATTTACAGTTCTACAACCTACTTGATGCTCATTAATATGAAAAAGAGTATATTAAAAAAAAAAAAGAAATCGTCAAAATTATCAAAAACTCCAACGAATTCCACGAAATTGTTTTTTGTTAGATGAAAACCCATAAAACAGTTTAGAAATTTCTGATAATTCCACAGAATTATTAGGTTTTTTTTGCAAATAATACTTTGAAATAGTTCTTTGAGTAGGATTTTTCTAAATACAAACATGAAATATTTTGAAACTGAATATGTGTCAAAATAATTCTCCCAAAAGTTTTCATTTAAAGTAAATTTTATTTCCAGTAGTACGAAAAAAATCCTCAAGTTACAGAATTTCTTAGGATTCCAAATTTCTTATTAATAAACCAAAAAATCCCAAAAAGATCACGAAAATAGTTAAAAAAGAGGATTACAAAAATCGTCTGAATTTTCGGAAAAGAATCCTTCGAAATCCACAAAACTGTTTAGAAATTCTTGATAATTCCACGGAATTATTAGGATTTTTCCTAAAAACAAACATACTTACATACTGTGAATATCTCTCAAAATAATTCGTCTAAAATACTATATAAATTAATAATAATAATACATTCCTAAAGTTTGCATTAAAAATAAATTTTATTTTCAGTACAACAGAAATCCCCAAGATAATTTTTACATAATTGAAAAAAGGATTTCAAATTTCTTATTTCATAAATTTATAAGAATTATTTTCTCAAACAAAGTCTCAAAAGTAGTTACAAAATTTTATACAAAATTCCAACGAATTCCACGAAATTTTAAATTAATTTGTTTAAGCCCAAAATTCTCAACAGACTTTTCTATCTATTGATATGAAAAAAGTACTTATATATAATTCCTTTTAAATCCGTGGAAATCCACAAAATGGTTAAAAAATTCTTGATAATTCCACAGAATTAGCAGGATTTTTCTAAATACAAAAATGAAATATTTGTCAAAATAATTTCCCCAAGAGTCAAAGTAAATTTTATTTTCAGTAGTACAAAAGAAATCCTGAAGGGAATTTTGCACAATTCCCAAAATCCAATTTCTTAGGATTCCACAGTTATTATTTAATAAATCAACAAAAAAAATCTATTAAAAATTTTGACTTTTTATTGAAAAACATATAATGTCATTACTGAACAAATTTTGTAATTACTTAAAAAATGTGTCTAATGGTTGTAAAAAATCATTCTAAAAATTCCTAGAAATTCTTAAAAATCCCCATCAATCCCTAGGAAAAAACAGGTGCCTATCTATATAAAAAAATGTGACGTTTCTCAACAATAAAATTTCTACATTTAATTCATTTAATTTTTATCGATTTTTTCATACAGGGTGACTTTTAAAAAACGGCAGGCACTGCAGAATTTTTATTTATGGCCCGATTCCAAAAATTAAAAAAATTAATCAAATGGCTTTTATTGTAGTATAAGCTGACAGTTTTAGAATTTTTCCAAATGGCTTAGTATATTTTGGGCTATATTCAACTTTCTAATTTTAAATTGAAACCCATATTTTTTCTTCAGAGTTAGATATAGTTTTCTTGGTACAGACAAACATGTGCAATATGTTTTGTCAATGTTAAAAAAAATAATAAAAGTTAATAAAATCTAGTTGCCTGGTGTCAAATAAATGCCATTATTCTAACGTCAAAAAACAGCAAATGAAAAGAAATTTTGCAAATATTTTTTCAAATTTTTAATAAGAAATGACAATTCTATCTAAAAAAATTTGGTAGACTGTAGCAAAAAAACTTGAAAAATTATTTTTTCAACAGAAATAAATACAGTCAAAGTGCAAAATTGAAACTCTCATAACTTTGAAATTTTTATAGATAATTTTTTTTTTAACATTTTTTACCTGTCTTGGTATCTTACCTTATATGGCATTTTTCTCTGGGGCATGAGTTCTGGCGCACCCTGTACTTATTTCTGTATAGAAATCGGGCCATAAATAAAAATTTTACAGCGCCTCCCGGTGTAAAAAAAACAACAAAATTTCGTTTTCAAAACAAAATCACATTATTTAAGCACTTCAATTATTAATTATTTTTTTCTGAAGCCAAATGAGTTAAAAAAACACGAAGTTACAATTATTTTTTAAGAAAATGTGTACCTAATCTAAAAATTCATTCTAAAATAATTCTTGGATATTTCAAGAAATATATTTGCAAGCACTAGGTATTACGAAACAAGGAAAAATAATAGTAAAATACGATAAAACAGAAAATACAGTGTGAATCGCTCTGTACAATAAAAAAATGACAAAACTGCTGTTTTGTTGAAATTTTATTAACTGAATTTGATCAAAATCTATTTTTGGATCTTTTAATACCACAAAAGCAGTTCATCGACCGTCTTTAAAAAGTAAAACCCCCAAACATACATTACGATAAAAATGTTGATTTTGTCGTACGCTAATTAGCCTCCCTATTCTTGCCAGTTTTGAATAATTAAAACACAAAATGTATTTTTAGTATTAAAATGGCAAAAAACTCAACGCGTGTGAATTATTAAAAGACATCGATCGTAAATAAAATTTTCCTCGGTGTCTTTTTATTTTGCAGGTTGATAATTGGGCCCATAATGAGGCGTTGAGAAACTCAAGTCACAATCAGCGGCAATTTCGATCAAATTTGGTCATTTTTCAAATAGTTTTGACAAAATTATACTCATAAACTGGGTAAATGCTCGAAACAGACCAAAATGATCAAATTTTATGACTAAATTCCTTAAAATAGCCTCAATTTTAAAATAATTTGGTCATTTTTCGAATTGTTTTTACGAAATTACATGAAATAAGAGATTGTTTTTACTCAAAAACGGGGTAAATTGCTCGAAATAGACCAAAATGACTTCAATTTCGATAAAATTTTGTGATTTTTCGTCTTGTTTGGGTGAAATCTCGCAAAATAAATGAGTTTCTCGTTCAAAATGAAGTAAACAGGCCAAAATAGCATCAATTTTCATCCAATTTGGCTATTTTAAAACCGGTTTTGACAAGACTACGAAATAAATAAATATTGATAAAATGTGGTAATTTTTTGACTTATTTTGACGAAATCCCAATAAATGAGAGATTTTCTCACACAAAAACGTAATAAATCCTTCTAAATAGATAAAAATAAGGCCAATTTCGATCAGATTTGGTAATTTTTTGTGTTGTTCTTGCTCAAAAAAAGCTAAATCCTTGGAAACAGGCCAAAATAGCATTAATTTTAAAATAATTTGACTATTTTTGACTACTTTTGACGAAATTACAAGAGAATAATAGAGTTTCTCACTCAAAAACGACAAAAATAACGCCGATCAAATTTTATAATTTTACTCAAAATTGCGTCAATTTTAAAATAATTTGGTCTTTTTCGAATTGTTTTGACAAAATTACGTGAAATAAGAGAGTTTTTTTTACTCAAAAATGGGGTAATCAGTCTCGAAACAGACCAAAATAATGCCACTTTCAATAAAATTTGGTGCTTTTTCCTCTTATTTGGGTCAAAATGCTCGAAATAAATGGATTTCTCACTCAGAAAAAACAGGCTAAAATAGCGACAATTTTAAAATAATTTTACGAAATTACAAGTAAATAAGATACTTTCTAACTTAAAAACGACAAAAGTACGGCCAATTTTGATCAAATTTGGTGATTTTTCGTCTTGTTTAGACAAAATCTCACGGAAAAGAGTGTTTCTCGTAAATAAAATTTTCATCGGTGTCTTTTTATTTTGCAGGTTGATAATTGGGCCGATAATGAGGCGTTGAGAAACCCAAGTCACAATCAGCGGCAATTTCGATCAAATTTGGTCATTTTTCAAATAGTTTTGACAAAATTGTACTCATAAACCGGGTAAATGCTCGAAACAGACCAAAATCATCAAATTTTATGACTAAATTCCTTAAAATAGCATCAATTTTAAAATAATTTGGTCATTTTTCGAATTGTTTTTACGAAATTACATGAAATAAGAGATT